GATCCTGGTGCCCTGTTCCCAGACAGCTTCTAAGCCAGCAGGAACTCAATCTGGAATCAGGTGCCCTGGCCCCAGGTGCCCTCTTGGTTGTCAGTAACTAGTTCCTGTACCAGGTACCCTGCCCCTAGTTGTCTTTTGGGCCACCAAGAACTCTTTCTGGGAGCAGGTACCCTACCCCCTACCTGTCACTTAGGCTGGCAGTTACTCCTTTTGGAACCAGGTACCCTTTTCCTTATCATCTGCTTGGCCAGCAAGCAAGAACACTGTCTCAGTGTCCTGATCCCTAGTTCTTTTCTTTAAAAAAAAAAAAAAAAAATTTCTCCTTTCTTTTTCTTTCCCTTCCCTGTTTTTTGTTTTCTTTCCTTTTCCTTGTTGCTTTTTCTCTTTTTGTTTTTCCCATCCTTTGTTTCTCTTTTTTGCATTTCTCTTATTTTGCCTCTGCTATACTCTCTCTTCCTCTTTTCTTTATTCTTCCTGCCCCAGGTTTTGTTCTTCTCTTGCTTTTTTTTTTATCATTCTTATTATTTACTTTTTTCTTTTTATGTGGTTGTTGTTTGTTGGTGCTATTTGTATTTTTTGTGCTCTTGTTTTCATTATTATTCCTTTCCTGCATTTTTTCCCCACTCAGTGAGAGAAAGCAACCATGCCCACACAACCTAATCACATCTGCACCTCCTACAGCCCCACCCACTGTGCAAGGGTCACCACCTGCTTCTGCACCAACTGATAAATGATAGATAGTGACCAATACCAGCCCAACACACCCTCAACTGCTCTGCACAAACAGTGAACAGAGAACTGTGCACACATTCCCATCCTCTATCACACCCACAAGACAAGTGATGAGTATTTAAGTACTGCCAAACTAGTGAGCAGAGTAGCACACCAGCCCTACCTGTTCAGATATTTCAAAACAAACCAAAAAAAGGTGAGTGAATTATGTCAACATACAATCACCAATTAAATACTGATATAATGACATCCTAATGTTTCAGAGAGAATTCCAGTTCACACAAAGAAGCAAGACAAAGTAGTACAAATAAGGGACACCCTCCCCACCAAAAAAAGAGCCAGAAAACCTCCCTGAGGAAGAAATGGCATTGGAACCACCTAAAAATGAATTCAGAAGAATTATACTTAGGAGCCTTTAACAGATTGAGAGACATATCAAGGAAAACAGTCAAAACTACAGAAAAAAATCAGGAAAACAACACAAGAACAAGGTGACAAGATAAATGAAAAATCAGAAACTGCAAAAAAAAGACATCAAATAAAAATCTAGAAGATTAATACTAAGATTTCATAAATACATAACACACTGAAAGGGCAAAGGAGTAGAATTGAATCAATGGAAGACAGAATTTGCAAGAT